TATATATTTTAATTTATTAAAAAAATATGAATTTTAATTAAAAAAATAAATAAATAAGTTCGTCTCATATATAAAGAATTTTTTTTAAAATAATATAAGTAAGATAAATTTATTATTATCAACTAAATTAATTAAAAAAAATAATTTTAGTGAGTTAGATAATTAAATCTTATATATAAAAATAGAGATAATAAAAATTATATATATAAATATATGTATATATATATATAAATTAAAATATTTTTCTTCAACATGCATATCTTTGAGAACATGCCATTATGATTACAAATAGACAATTCTTAACAAACCCACAATTACACGAAATATATTATTAAGCAGATAAAGATCAATGAGTATCTATATTTCCAATCATTGCTATATATAACATATATCACACTCTTACATATGTTATATAGAGACCGATCAAAGATCATGTTATCGAATAATTTATGCACAATCACACACTCAAAAGTAAAATCACTATTTGAATTATTTAATATTATAAAGTTGAAAATTAATTAATTTCTTTTTTGTTTTTAGCTAGTAAGAATAATATTAATTTTTTATCTATTTATTAATTTTTTATTTATATAAAATATACTTAAGACAATATTTATTAAAAGGACATAGATAATATTACTTCTGTCCCTATTTATAAAACTCAATTTAAAAAATTATTTATTTCTCTATATAAGGTCCAATTTATATTATTTGTATATTAATTATTTTTACTCTAAAATATTCTCAATTAATATGTGTTATCTTAAATTAATAAAACGTATTAATTAAATTATTTTAAAGAGCGAGTATTAATATGTGTTATTTTAAAAGAAATATGAATATTAATTAAAAGAGATAATTATAAAATATATATTCTAATTGATTAAAAAAAATATGAATTTTAATTAAAAAATATAAGTAAATAAGTTTGTCTCATATATAAAGATAATTTTTTTTTAAAAAAATATAAATAAGACAAATTTATTATTATCAACTAAATTAATTAAAAAAAATTAATCTTAGTAAGTTAGATAATTAAATCTTATATATAAAAATAGAAATAGTAAAAGTTATATATATATATA